GTGTTCATGATACCCTTCATTTCAAATACATTGGTATTAAAGTATTTGAATACTATAATAAAGCTCTGGCCCACAGGAAAGTCATTTAAGAGTTTCCTGCTCTCAAAATCATCTTGATTATGAAAAAGTGCCAGAACTTCAGCAACGATATCATTTTTGGCATCACGAGAATGAGAACAAAATTTTCTAAAAGATTAAGAACACCTTCTTTTTGACTGGTGCTGTGAAGAAGTCCTCCAAAAGATGTTTTGCTGATCAAGTAACATAAATTAATACTATGATCTAACCTTAAAGGAATAATTCCCAGCAGATGTGGAAGAGAGAGACCGGACTCCTGCCTGCATTTTATTTGGAAGCCAGTCTTCTCTTTTCTCCAGGTAGGATTCTCCATCCCTAAGCCAAAATACCTTAAAAAAATTAAATGTGTACCTTATAATTGATAGGGAAGAATTCAAGGAGCTACAATTATATTTCTTTCCTTTCTTCCCCCCGCCCCCCCTTTTTTTTTTTCTGTGAGATTTGGTTTTCCTGAGCTGGACATATGGCTGAGGCAGAAAGGACAAGCGGAGGGAAAAATTAACATGAGCCAAGCGGCTTTGAAAACTCCATCAACAGAGAATGTGAAGAGACAAACCAGTCATAAAAACATAGGGTGAAGATATTGCCAGAACTCAGAGCTTGACCAAATTGTGTGAGGTCATCACATAAAATAGAAACGCTCATGAAGACTGTGATCTTGGAAAAAGGTTAAAAACGTTTGTGTGTTCTTTAGTGCCAGTGCAAGTTACTATATAAGCTTTTAGCGAGCGGTGCAACAGAATGGGAAAAATAACCAGTTTATCCTGGGGCTTCCTTTGGTGGCTGGAAATCAGCTATGGTGAGTATTTACACCATGGAAATCAGCAAAGGCTGTAAACGAACGCTTTACTTTTTATGTTTTAATTTTTTCTAGGAAGCCAGTTTACCACTGTACCACTAGAAACAACTGGGATTAAGGAAGCTCTTAGCACCTCTGACAGATATTCACATATGGGTTTAGCCAGGGGGGTTTTGGGAATAAATGAGTCTTCTACAAGCAGGGGACTTCTAATACCTATCTTAGTAAGATTCGGTGTTTAATTATTTCTCTTGGAATTTTAATAGCAACAAATCCTTATTAGAAAGGATTTCTCTAAAAATATTGGTCTTGTTTCATTTCTCTTCATTAAAAGCTCCAAGAAGAAACGAGATAAAATATATATGGGACAGGAAAGTCTCCTGCTTTCTAGTAAGCAGAAGTGGTGCCACCTGATAAACTGGATAGTGTCACTGGAACGGAGTCAAAGCCATAGAAAACCAGACCTGGCTTTTTTTTTTTTTTTTTTTGTGAATGACAGTGTTAAAGAATGTAACCCCTCTTAACTTCTCTACACCCCATACATACAAATTGCTTATAGTGATACAACCCTCAGTGGTAACTCACTTCACACCTCCATTTTCTTTCTTGTAATCGCCAAGATTAAATAGCATGTTTGGGCAATATTCTGCATTTATCTAAACCTTTTCCATACAGGCCACACCGATAAAGCTGAACAGGCTTATGTACCTCACACGTCAGATCCTATCAAGAAACGTGGTAGTGACAGTTTGATAAGGACACCATAACTTATTGAACTTATTCTAAAAACAACAGCAGCAGACCATTCATCTCCTCACACTTTTTAATGACCTTGTTCTATGGTGTCCCCATTTTTAGACGCAGCAGATGCATTACTGTTTGGCCTCATAGCAAACAGAAAGCAGAGGCCATGTGACAATGTGCGTTTTGGTAGTATACCATGAAAAAATTCTAGAGAGCACACATGAAATTAATATAAAATAATATTGAAAGTCAACTGTAATTGGAAAATAAAAATTTTAAAAATTCTAGAGATCTGCTTTATTTCAACTACCTATTGAGGAAGGGGAGATCTAGGGTTAGTTTTAATTTTCACCTTGCCAACAGCTTCAACCAAAGTGAAAAAAAATGGTTTGTCAGAAAAGTGAGAAAAAAAACTGCCAGTTGCTTTTTTCTTTGCTCTCCAAAATGTCTAGTGTTGTCACAGACAATGAATAAGAATGCTAACCGATTTTACTGTTTCAGGATAACATCCCTACCTGGGGCAAGACACATAAAAGAAAAATAGGCACAAATAAATATCAAATTAGAATGAACTACAAGGCTAATTTTCTTACATGTTTTCATTTTTTTTTTGTCTTTAAACTGACTGGTTTTGCAATTCATATTGCCCAAACATGTTCCTGAGACATTTCCAAAAAGACTTTACTCTAAGCACATTTAAGACCATATTTAACAGATAATTTAACTACATTCTTAAGCTTTTAAAAATTGTTATTGCTATTATTTAAGTTCAAAGTGAATTTGATTACCATGGTGAAATTCTTCCGATTCTAATCAATAAAATTCTAATCTCTGTGGAATTTCAGATCTTTCTGCTCCCTGCATGATAAAGAGCATTCAACCAACCTGAGGGTTTAATTTTGTCATTCAGTTATCTTTTTAAACCTACAAATATTATTCTTCTGGTCTGTGTTCTGGAAACCTGTGGTTTCCTCTGTCCTTGAGACAGTACCACACTGGGAAAGGTGATTTGAGGAGGAACGATGAGAAACCTATTGGGTACTTGAATACAAACAAGTCTAGTTGTAACACATTTCATAATAACTGACAAGAGACTGTGAGCTTGGAAAACAAAATTTTGCTTTGTGAGTATCTGTAATGTAACTGATACTACAATTTTGTGATGAGGGGAAGATAGGGCACACTTCCAAACACTGGCTTATTTTTTGGTGGCTTTGAGTCTGATCACCCTGCATTTGAGTGGGTTGACATCTCCATCCTGTCCCTCTCTTCCTTTTTGAAATTTTCTCCTGCTTCCTGAAGCAAAAACAAAGGGTTCTTGTTAGTATTAGGAGTCCTGTCTTCTCACCTCAAGTTCTCAATGTGAGTATAAAGAAGAAAATATGATATACATCAGGCATACCCAAATGTATAGAGAACACTTTGAGGATTGAGTACCCATCATCTACCTTAAGACATAAAACATTACAAAAAGCAAAGCTCCCTCTCTGTTTCTGCCTCCTCAGAGGTGACCACTGTTTCCATACATTTCATATTTTTGCTATATATGTGTACATCCACAAACAATATATAATATGTTGCATGTTTTAAGTTTTCATATAGATGGTCTCTTTTTTACACAATTTTTTTTTAAAAGATTTTATTGGGGAATTGGGGGAGGGAAACAGTTAAGTTGCTGTCCTTTTGTTTCAGTCTAGTTGTGGAGGACGTTGCTTCACTGGCCCATGTTGGTATTATCATTGCGCTCTTCCCGAGTGGGGCAGATTGGTCGCCGAGCCCTGGGCGGTGGCTCACGGCGGCTTTTGGCAGCTCACTCCAGCTGCCGGCCACTCACGGTAGCTTTACATCAGCCCACTGCAGCCCCACTGCAGCCTCACTACAGCCTACTCTGTTGCCGGCGACTCACGACAGCTCAGCTCCAGGTAGACCTGTTGTTCACCATCTTAGCTGTAGAGGGTGCAGCGTCACTGGCCTTCATGTGGGATCTGAACCAGGGCCTTGCTGCTCAGAGCTGGCATCCCAAGCCAGCTGTTAACCAACATGCCACTTGGCTGGCCTACGATTTTTTTTTTTAATATATGTATGTGTACCATTAACTTTATTTATTTATTTATTTAACTGGGGAACAGTGTGTTTTCCCAGGACCCATCAGCTCCAAGTCAAGTAGTTGTTTCAATCTAGTTGTGGAGGGTGCAGCTCAGTGGCCTGTGTGGGAACGGAACCGGCAACCTTGATGTTATGAGCACTGTGCTCTAACCAACTGAGCCAACCATCTGCCCCTTTCACATGATTTTTAAGATAAGCTAATGCATATAGATCTGGTTTCTTGATCTTCACCAATACAAGGTATTTGACAGTATGGCTTATACAACAGCTTATTTATCCATTTTTTGGCTGATGCTTCAATTATATCCAGGACAGGTCTCTTTTAGCAATGTGAGCATTTTTTTAAGGTACAGACCTAGGATTAGCATATTTGAATCATGGATATGCACATCTTTAACTTCACTAGCTACTGCCAATCTCCAAAGATTGAATCACCAGCCGTGAGGCCAGCAGTCTAATAAGCCCTCTGGGTTCAAAGTTTCAGATTCATTTGTCTAGAAGCGGGTGGTGGTGGGAAGAGCAAGAACTTGCATTTCTCACCCGTCCCCAGGTGAGGCTGCTGCTGCTGTAGTGTAGTGTCTGGGACTACATTTTGAGAACAGCGCTCTAAAGAAAACCTGCTGGATCTCATTTTGAAAGAGAGAGCTGATGAGGCACTATGTGAAAAGCTGTGGCTGGAGGTTTCACTCGGTAACTGAAAGTTAGCCTGTGGTATACTTTTAGCATTCGGATTCCAGAAAAAAACTGACTAAATGCAGATCATATACAGTAAGTAACCAGAATGAGTAATTGTCATGAAATGCTCAATTCTTAATGAGTTCTGCCAGATTGGGACCTCTGCTGTGCTCCTGTCATTGCTGTGTCGAGAGGGCAGAGTGGGCAGGTTGCCCTGTGCCAGGCCAGGGTGCGCACGGAGCTTGGCTGACAGTATATGTTGGTGTCTTGCCTGCACCCATACAGCCCAGGCATTAGCCCACATGCAGGAGTGGGTGTTCTCCCTGGGGTTCCTCAAGACTGAAGGCATGGGCTACTGAGCCTAACTAATTGGGCTATTTTTAGATATTTATATGCAAAACAAAAAATCAATCTTTATCTTATACAATTTAAAAAATAATATTCCAAAGTTACAATAGTACTGCGATAACAGAATGCTGGGGAGATTTTCCTCATATATTCTTTCTTCAAGAGCTTCTTATAAAAAACCTTGAAAAGGAAGCCTTCACATATTTTAACAGTAAGAAGACATAAACAGGCTTGCACAGTCTGCAAACGGTTAACATGAAAACTGGAAGGAAAGTGATTTTATTTCAGATTTAGCCATACAAAAGGTCAATTAGGGAGAAAAGCATGTACTGGTAACAAAAAGCATTTGCTTATGTCATTCCACAATTTACATAACAAGATAACTGTTCTCCAAAAGCAGACAACAGGTTCAAAAATACTTCTTTTCACACCCTGAAGTGATGGTGTTGGGAGCGATGACTGTTCTAAGGCCTTTTACTGCAGGCACTTTCAGCTAGTTCTGGTATCATTACTCTCATTCTATCTTCTTTCTTTTTTCTCTCTCATCAGCTTTTTGCTTTCTTCCCTTCTTCTTTTATTCACTGGGTTCCGAGGATCATAGATTTCAAAAGTGTCTGAGTCTTGCATGCTTGCATCTTTCACTTTTCTGCTTTTATCCTCAAACTGAAGTACATGCGACATCCTAGAGGGAGAGAGATGGTTCAGTGATTTTGGCATGAGAGCTGCAAGTGGAAACTGTATACGACACTATCCCTGGCAGGATGTGCTCTAAGGGCACAGAGCGCAAAGATGGGCTTATTGTTTACTGGTGCTTGGACCACACGGAAACCAACTTCTCAGAAAACACACAAATTTGAAAAACATGTCTGGAGTTTGTTCTGTTGGCTTGAATTTCTAGTAGTGAGTCTCTTTGCCTCATTCTTCATTTGAAATTCCTTCCCTGATGGGAGGTTAAAAGAGTTCTACCCTGAAGTGCTTCTTAAACTAAACTCAGAAAACATTCAGCCAGCTCCCTTTAAAGAGCGAACTTAACTTGACCAGAGTAAGCCAGGTTGCAGAGCAAAACTCCTGACAATAAACCAGCCCAATATGATTTTTTGTTGTTGTTTCAGTGGTTAAATGGGTCAAGAGTAGGGAATGTGTCAAGAAAATTCTTATTCAAATGGTCTTATGACTCCCTTTTCTGTGGCGTTGCTGGGTTAAAAAGAATTTTTTTTTTTGTTTTGTATAAAAGGAAACTAAGCTTTTGGCACAGCTCCATCGACTAATTTCCTCCTCTTACTGTTGATTACAACAAATCTAACCATCCTGCTTTCCTACTTTATCAAATGCTCACTGGTCTTAAGGTATCAACATGTGCTTGAATCCTAAGTGGTCCTAAGCCGGCTATCCTTAGCAACCAGGGAAATATGCGAGTGATTAGCTCTGCCCCCACTAGGAGGTGTTAGGAATAAATGGGGATGTCAAAAGACCAGATTTCAGGGAAGCTGAATGAATTTGGAAAGAGAAAAGTTCAGTTTTTTCTTTGTATAAATAAAACTACTAAGGCTATCCCCCACTAATGATTCGAGCAATTTTTAAAGTAGGCATGCCCAGTGCTTTTCTTTATCACAGCAGATAGGGCTGAATCGCCTGCAGGATTAACACTCCGCATATACCAGCTGTAACTTTTAGACGAAACCCAAATATTACAGTGATTTCTTTTTCTCTGCAGTAGCACAAATGCTGAGTGAAGTTTACTTATGTGACAAACTCCCAAGGATACACTCAGATTTTAAAGAATCCTAAAAAGATTCTGGGCGAGAAATAAAATGTTATAATATCAGTGATACTACAGTTACTAATGGTTCAGTGGCTACTGTTCACCAGGTTAACAAGTTGAGTCTTCCTACCATTCCCATCCCTTCTATCCCAGATAAAGCTTATTGGAATGCAGTGTGTACCAGTGATATTATATGGATGACCTGGAGTCCACTTTAATTTGCTAAATGAGGTAAATCACATTCACATTTCTATAGTTTATTATTAATAAAACATTATTTGCATCAAATTCATTACTGGTCTCAATAATACATACACATGCCCTCTCACACATGAGAACTGTTGCCTTTTTATACTTCCTGTTGCTTTAGTGAACACCCTGATTTAGAAAGTGCATCATAGTATCATTGCTTATTTATTATAGATGGATTCCTTAGATTCTGATTTTCTGGTGCTGTCAATTACCTACAGTGTTTAAGTATTAGCTCCTGAGAAGAAAACAACCCCCAATTCCTAGAAAAAAAAGACTGGTTATTCTACAACCTTGGTAATGAGTGACTACTAGAACCAGTTTGAAACACAATTAAACTGGATTTAATCAATTAATGGTGATTTGCCTAGGCCTAAATGATCAGTGACAACTCACTTCAGGAAATACCCCTCTGAAAGCCAGCTAATCAGTGACAGCCTTATGCTTTTGAGAGCTGGCCAGTGGCCGACTCACTCTAGTGAACATGCTCCCGAAAGCCAGCCAATCGCTGACAGTCTCCCGAATAATGCGGCTTCTGAAGCTGATGTCAACCCCTCGACAATCCCTAACCCCCAAATTTATATAAAGATTTGCAACCTGCTTTGCTCAGAAAGACTGTACCTAAAAGCATAGCTCTCCCTGACTTCAGTAAGTAATCAATTCAGCCTTTTGTTTTAGATTTGAATAGGTGGTCTTTTTCTTTGACACTTCTTATAATCTGTGCTGCATTTCCCACAAAATGCACTTTTTAGAAAATTTCAAATGTATTACAATTGTTCAGAACCAAGTTTAGCAGCGTGGCAAGACTGTCGTGTTAAAAGTCCTTCACTGCCCAGCACGGGGAGCAGCCCCTGCTGCATCGCAGGAAGCGCTTAGCAACTTTCCAAGCAACTCATGTGCAGACACCTAAGCCAAAGCCAGGGAGGAGCTGGAAGCATATGCCCTTTAAAGTAATTTTATTCAATACTCCTACATTGATATCAAAAAAACAAAAACTGCATTTCAGTTAACCTATTAATACCTTTTCATATATGCATTCTTCTATTTAAAAAATTATCCCTTTTTCTACCCTAAAATACTGATGGGTTTTGTGTAATATCTATTTCTAATAAGGTCTTATCCATGTTTCAAAATGACTTTACCAGAATTTGTCAATTAAAACCATAAAAGGCAACTTCCTCCTTTCTATGCCATGAGAGAATCTTGCAACGATTGGATTTAGTTGGCTCTAGTATAAGAAATGACATCTAGACATGTGAACCACAGCACAAAGTCCACAGAAAAAATAGATTTTCCTACAAATGTGAGAAAAACAGAGAGTCATAAATTAAAGTAGCTGTCTTTTTCAACTGTTTGTTTCATACACCACTGCACTAAACAAGTCCAACACTATGATTAATACCAAAGCTAAACCCAGAGGAAAGAAGGGGCGATCAGCTGACAAATGATTTCAGCTTTAATATCATAATACTTAGCATGGCTGGTTACTCAGCAATAATATTTAATCTTTAATAGAAATAAAAGCATAATCAAAATGCTTCACCCATTTATCTTTCAACATGCTTCAATCACTTCATTTTAAAAAGCAAACAAAACAGCTCTTACGATTTTCGGCATAATAAACTCCTGACCTGTGTGCCTCCATAAATCACGACTGCATGAACTGAAAGCATGCCCACACTTTACAGTCTCCTGTGAGAATACACATGCGGAGTTATAATACAGACTTAATTCGAGTACATCAGGGTCTGGTAGTTTACAATCTTGTATGTACCAATAACTCAATACTATCCACTCTGTGGCTGGTCATGGAACTGGCCCAACAAGAGCAGTGAATATTTTGGAATTAAGTACACCCTGATCATTTACATATGAAAATTTTAGAATTTGTTCACTTGAAGGCCAAGACAAAAATTTAGTTCCGATTAATAAAAAGTTTTATATAAGCTCCATTTCTCAATAAGAACACTGATGTTAGTGTGTCATAGAAATATGGAGGCTTATCGTTTTCGTAGAGGTTATGTTTGACAGGTAAGGGTTTTTTTTTTTTTTTTTGGTATAAGACTGTGGGATTATAAACAAAAGAAAATACCCGACTCTTTGAAAAGTATCTGGACACTGATTTGACATCCAGTTTTTAAAGTTCTCACACAATTGTGAAATAGGTTGCGATCTGACAGCAGTTACTAGTAATGGGGAATGCTAGAGAGGTACTCATTCTCAGACATATAGTAAGTAACTCAAAATAGAATACCAATATTAATAACTTACTTCTGACTGAAATGTGTTTAAATTATTTATGCTTATATAATGAAAAATCTTTTTCACTGGGAATTCTATAAACCACATTTTCCCGTTTTCAAGTCTCCCTAATTTAGGAACTTACAACCCAACCCTTAAATTGTTGTAAGTATCCCATCCGTTCCACAATTGTACTGTTTCTTCTTCTCATCATCCAAAGGTTCTAAAATAATCTTTCTTACATATTTCTTTTATAGCATTCCTTTGAGCAGGAACTATCGTCTATTGTGTAGACGATACAGCCTGACCCTTAAAACCCTCGAACAACTGGATCTTCCTACCTCACTGACCTTATTTCGTTTCTTTCATTAGCTCTCAACATTTTGTAATTGCCTGTTTACTTAATTGAGAGCAGACTGTCAGTTATTCCAGACGGTTTGAGTCTTGTTCACAGTGGTGTTCCCAGTGCCAAGAATGGTGACTTGTGTTGTGCATCAGTGCCCTCGGCCCCTTTGTGCTGGCCAGGCCTACTGTCTGTACTGGCTGGTTTGCTAAACTAACACTTGACCCTCCTTTTGTGGGCGGGGGCTGTCCTTTATTTCTATGGTCAGCTTCTAAAATGTCTAACGGGCTCTGCAGAGTCTTCTGCTTGGTACACGCACACCTTCTCAGGGCCTTTCATATCTCAGCATATGCTGAGTGTGGCGTTTCCACCACACTCCAGTGAGTGGCGGCTGGTTTTTACTCCTTGGAGACTTGCATTGGGAGCATGCCCTCTGTTCTCCATTTCCCCTGGCACCTAATGCAGAGCTAGACAGGAGGTGTCTTAAAGCAATGTTTCTCAAAGTCTAATCCTAGAGCCCTGTACAAAATATAGGTTGCACCTTAGAATCAACTGGGTCGTTCTGAAAACTATCAGTGCCAGACCTCCACCTCCAGAGGCACTGATTCCATGGTCCCAGGATGGGACCCCAGCCTCAGTGACTGAAAATGTTTTCTGGGTCATTTTAAAATACAGCCAAAGTTAAGACCTGTGCACTAACTTGAAGAATCTTTACACTTTCAGATCGATTGATTTCATTAGCCATTTGTTCTGGTCCCTTCAAAGATGAAGAATGGATGCGTCCTAATGACAAACAATTCACATACTTGAAGAAGCTTAAGTGGCCTCTGAGCCAATTATTTTAATTGAATAATCTCAAGTGTATTATCCATTTTTTATATATGGTTTGAGGATCAGGCAAGGAGCTAGATTCAATTATTCATTCAACAAACATCTGAGTGTTGTTTACATGTGAGACCCAATGTCAGACAGCAGGGACACAAAGCCAAATGTGACCCGAGTCCTGCTCTCCTAAAGTGAACAGTGCATTAGGGAGATGAACACACAGTCACCAGAACAAATGCATATTTTGGAACTGTCTGCAAAG